AAGAAGTGCTGTAATAGTGGAGAAAACTTCAATCAGTAATCAGTATTTTAATGATCTTCAGAAATTTGCTGTTCTTGAGCTTGGTTTGGGAATCATTCCTGTTTCAGGATCTGAGGAATGTGGCCAAGCCCTTATTGCAATGGTTTATTTTTTATTTTACTGCTTTTTAAAATTTTAAAACAGTATTTTTTTTCTTTTTTTTTTTATACGGATGAGTTATTTCTCTTCTTTTTTAATGTAATCCATAATTAGGATATCTTTTGCAACAGAAAATAAGTTCTCAAACCTCAATTAACTTTCAATTATTTTTCTTCAGCACTCAAAATTGGCAATCATGATATTATTACAAAATTTTCTGGTAAATATATGAGTAATTGATTTAATCTAATTAGAGATTTGTTTAATTATTTGTAGTTAAAATTACTTGTTGTATTAGATTTGCTGTGTAAAATTTATTAACAAAGGGACAGATATTTCTTGTACAAAATAAATAACAAATTGTAGTTTTGACAAAACTTTTATAAATTCATAAAAGCTTATTAGGAAACAATTTCAAGAATTATCATTTGACTTTAGAAATGCTTAACACTGTAAAATAATTCCTTGAAGTCTATAGAAAAGAAAGGATCCTCAGTAAACTGTTCAATAGGAGTAAAGTTCAGTTTATGTTTTTTGTGCATTGAACTAATAGTTTTTGTTCCAGAAACTTTGCAAAGCAAAGTTGTTTATTTTCAATTGTTTTATTAACAGAGTTTTAATAAAGATATACAATGGAAGAAATTATTGGTTTTATTCATGATAACATTTCAGTAAAAAATTAAACTTATTAAATACTGTAACAGACTGATATTTTCAGTCATAGAAAGATAATATTTGTTTTTGCTACTGCAATGCAATTTTTTAAATACTGTATTGATTTTTAAATAAAAATTATTTTCTTTTATTTAGGTTCGTATGGGCTGTGAAGATAAATCCAATCCTTTTATGTACAGGTGTCGCGCTCCTCCGATGGAAACATATCTTTTGAAAACTCTCCTCACCATTCCTTCATTGGGTGAAACTAAGGCTCAAGCATTGCTATTAAGATTTAAAAGTAAGTGCTTGAATTATTTTTGATTTGTTAAGAAAATATTTTGATATATCTAATTTGATTCATTATCATTACAGTTTGTTTTTTGTAAGAATAGAAATTTGTGTGTACTCATTTTTATTGAAAAATAATTTTCTTCTAATAATAATTCTGTTACAAATTAATTGCAAAAAAATGTGAAGATTTTCTTTATTTCCCAGGTTTAATCAATATTTGTAATGCTAGCTTGGAAGATCTCACTAAAACTGTAGGGGCAAATAGTGCTCAACAAGTATATAATTTTTTTCATTCTTGTTAAACCAATTATATATCATTTTATAAATATATTTATATAATTGTTGCTTTGTATTTAATATACATGTTTATATTATGTGTTATTCTAAATACCGATATATTTTCTGCTTTGTCTTGTTCATTAAACGGTTTTAAAAAAGAATCACTTATTCAAATGTAACTAAAAAAAATTCATGTTATGAATTATAATTTTTCGAATTTATTTTAAATAAAAGATTTGTATTTTTTTTTAACATGTTTCCTATAGAAAATAATTGTATACAAAAGTAATATATCATTCATTGTACATGTATAAACATTACATAAATATATACTAGTATGTAAAACTTGATCAACTTTTTTGCATACTAGTGTAATAAAGGCAAGAAGATTGTAAAATCTAAATAAAAAGATATTTAAAAAATATAAATTTTAAAATAGTAAATATAATTATTTATTATTTTAGTATGATTATTGTACAAATATACTTTTAAAGGGATTTATGATATTACCATTTAGTTTCATAAGCTCAATGGGACTTTAGCAATTGAATGCAAGAATGAATGTATCTAAGGCATTTCGTAATGTATTGTGTATTAATTCGCGTGTTTATGTATTCAAATATTATAATATTTAGTGAATGTATTATTACCAGAAAAAGGTCATTGTTTTTTATTTAATTTCATCCACTTTTTTCATTATTATTTATTTGACTTCTAATTCATTGAAGCCATGAAGATATTTTTTTTAATAACTAATTAATTGTATTATAAATTACAGCATTTCTTAGGAGTCATTTAATGTATATATGAAACATAAAAAGTTAAGGATTTTATATTTCTTTTAATGTATACTTTGATAATAAAATGGTATATTAATAAAATGTTTTGCGTCTATTTTATTATCATGCATTCAAAAATTATTTAACTTTATGATGTTACAAAATTAAAATTTTTATTTATTTAGACATTTTAAATGGATTTTTGAAAGTGATAATACTTTTAATTAATAGTAAATAAATCATAGATTTTTTTTTTTCCCTGCAAACTCAACAATTTCAAAACATTAATCACACTAGATGGTTAAGTCATTATCTATTTTTTTTTAGCATTTAATTTTCAGTATGTACATAACCTATAGTATTGTATGACATCATTTGCAAGAAAATGTGATTTTTAATGCATTATATCTGGATTATGATGAAACTAAAGAAGCCTTAAGGTATTTTTCACATTTAAAAATATTTTCTATTTTCCAAAAATTAATAAATTTGTTAATTGATTACTTCTTGATTCTCCAATAGAATTCATCCTATTATAAATATTACTAGTATTATAAGTTTACTACTATATTACTACTTATTATAAGTTTTTACTTGCACTAGAACTATGGTAATGAACTAATCGAGTCAATGCACAAATCAGTGACTCATTAGAGGTGCTAGTCAGATAGAAGCAGTGCAAAGCTGCTTTGAAAGAAAGAGTGTAATAGTATAGAATTTTTTTCATTTAAGTTTATATCATGTAATCTAAGATTCTAATTATTAAAAATTAAAAAAAATTTATTGCAATTAAAATTCTTTCTAAATGGCATTTACTTCCCTATGACTCCGTTCTTTTTGAATCTGTGCTACTTGACCGCTTGTCAATTTCCTTCATGATTGGTGGTCGGACTATAAGTGTGTAATAAAATTTTATTTGCTTAAACTTTTGAATTAAGTTTTAAAGAACACAAAGAAGTTATCTTTGTTTATATGTAATATGTATAATAAAATACAAATAGCATATGTATTCAGAAAACAAATCAAATCTAAAGTACAGAAAAGAAGTTATGAGATACCATTGTAACAAAATAGACAATATTTTTTTTTATCTCTATAAGTATATGAGAGTACTATACATTCATATTTAAATGTTTTGATATTTATAGTGTGGCATTACAATTCTAAGTGCATTGATGTTGTGCAATTTTTTTTTCTAACTTCGGTGGGCCTCGTGTATTACTATAAACAGCCCATCTGTGGGTGATCGGGGGAGGACTTTAGGTGTAACTGTCCTGTGTTTGCTTTAGGAGAAAAGTAAACAGCCTGACTATCGATTCAAGACACTTTATACATATCATCATGTCTCCTTGTTTCTGAATGGCCGAGTGGCTAGCGCTCTGGTGCTCGGTACCACAGGTTTCGGGTTCAAGTCCCGGCGGTGCCATGGGTGTTTGTAGTGGTTCTTAATCCACTTTAAACTGTAGGCCCCGGTCTGTGTAGCCTAAAGTGTGCATAAGATGACCATAGAGCGCCAAACAAACCAAACCAAACCTTGTTTCTGAAAACAGTAACTATGCCACCAGTGGATTCGAACCTAATTCCTCCTGCACGCTAATTGCACATGTTGCTATTGAGCCATTTATTTTTCTTTTCCATTATTTTTTCTGGGAACATTTATAAAATTCAAGCCAATCTAACACTATAAAAATATAAATTCAACAGAATTATATAAAAAGTTCTATGTGTTGACTATACAAAACTAATGCAGTCATTTCTTTACATATTTATTACTTTAAAAAAATAACATATAATCTATAAATTATTATTAATGAACATTTTGTTTCTGTGCAATTAAAAGGAATTATTAAAGTCACATTGCAGCATCCAACATAAGATTGGACTCATTCCTATCTATGTTGTCCAGGAAGAGATTGTACATGGCATATTGGTCGTTGGGCAACAAATCCAGGTATTGACTAGCCATGTGCAGGTGAAACTCTTCTTCCTCTATGTGCTGCTCTTCTTCATCCAACCAACCATCGCTGAGAAGCTGGGAAAAAAAAGAGTTTATTATTTACAAAACAGTGCAGTTCCTGAAAAAATGACTGGAAATTATATCTTATTAATATTTAATCAATATTGAATGCGATTCTAAAATTTCATGAATCTTGACTAATGATTGAATGAATGAATCACATATGTCATTTCCTACATAGTATTCATTTAAGGGAGCAGTTCCATGTCTTTTTCAATTTATTAGAGGGGAAGTTTCTTGTTATGTGGACTTCTTTTATTAAAAAAGATAAATAATAACAAATAAAATAACGAAGTAAATCAGTTATATAAAAAATTAGCAAAAGAAACATCTATTTGCTTCCTACTTGGTGCATTAAATAATAATTTATCATTTCTATGTAAATAATAAAATAATTATTTTTGTTGTTGACAATTGATACAATTATTACTTATATTTATATGAAAAGCATTAGTTAACATTTAATTTTAGAATTAGCAAAAATAATAATGATAAAAAAAATTAATGTTTGTCAGTACATTAGCTTAATAATTGTTTTAATATTTGGTTTGATATTTTGTAGCAATTTTAAGTGTAAAAATAGATTATCAGATGGTTTAAATGACTAATATTTATGAATGAAAGTAGTTGCATCTTAATCCAAATAGGTTTATACCTTACCTGGTATTGATTGCCTCTACTTTTTAATTTTAAAATGGAACATGATATTGGCAATCATAAAAAATATATAATGAATTCTAGAAATTAACATTTGCTGGTGTCTTGATAGTTAATTGAGTGATACTATGATCTATCATGGGAAAGAAGGAAAAAAAAAAGATTAAATTGAGGCTCTACATTCACACAGGTTCTCGTTAGATCACCGAAGTCAAGCATCATTGGGCGCGGTCAGTACTTAAATGGGTGACCACCTGGGCATTCACAAATTTGGGACCTGAATGGCCGAGTGTCTGGCGCTCGGTGCCACGTGTTTCGGATTCGAATCCCGGCGGTGCCATAGATGTTTGTAGTGGTTCGGAATCCACTTTAAGCTGTAGGTCCCGGTCTCTTATGACTGTAAGAGCGTCAAGAAGCCAAAGTCAGACTTCTACATACGAGTGCTCCATCACAACAGAAGCTGCTTCCTTCCCCTTCAATCATGAGTACGTATGGGCTCGTGGGCTTGGCCAGCCAAGTGGGATTAGAAACAACAACATTCACACAAATGCGCTATTGAAAGAAGTCTTCATTTCCTCAATAAATTAGAAATATTGAATGAAATATTTTTGGTATTATTTAAGCATTTCCTTTTATTAAATGAAATAAGATCATATCCAGATCATATTCCACACTTTCATCAAAATCTAAAAATTTTATTTAAAAAAAAATTTAAAATCGTATAGTTTTACATTTTTTTCAATTAAAACTATACGATATAGTTTTAATTGAAATTTTGTACAGTGAGGCAAGTCTTGTATATCTCTAATTTAAATGAAAGAGTTAAATGACATTAAAATTAAATACTTTTCTTAAATGAATTCTGAACTCTGTCTATTGAAATTCAAAATTCCCAAGGAAGTTAGTTAAAAAAAATTCAATTAAGTTCATTCAAATCTAAGGAAGCTAGTTTAAAAAAAAATAAAGAATGTATTGTAGCATTTTTCCCATTGGCAGAATTGTAGCCTTCTATTTCCAGGAGAGAGGGATGTATATTTTTTAACAAATACATAATAACAACCTATCACTCAAATCTAATAGCAGATATTTAGTGTCATGGATAGCGAGACCTCGTGAAATTAGCGATTATCTGTTCAACCTTTACAGGTTGAAACAACTACAGATTGAATATGAGCTATACCATGAGTTGCTCCATCGTGATTGGTGATAGACCATGGGCTGAGGAAGTGTCGACTCCAACGAGAAGATTTTGATTAAAATCATTCACTATAGAATATTTGTGGTCTCCATTGATAATACTGATTCCGCTGTTTTAAAAATTTAGGCAGGTGTTCCCCATGGTTCAATACTTGATCCATTTTTCTACAATCTTTACCTTAATGATATTCCGCAAATTTATAATATGAAAATCAGCCTTTTTGCAGATGATACAGCACTCCTCACTTGGGTCGTAAATATTTTATCATTAGTGTTAATATGATTCTGAAGGTATCATATTAATCATCTCGAACAATGGCTTATAAAATGGAAAATTCAATTAATGTTGAGAAAACTGAAGCAGTTCTATTCAGTGTAAAAGGGTTCTTACACATCTATAAAAATTTATAATAATCCTATTAATTGGGCTGAGCAGACTAAATATTTGGGTGTAATCTTAGATCGTAAATTGTATGTTCCTCACATTAACTGTCTTAGGGATAAATTTAATAGATGCATTCACTTACTGTATCTACTTATTTGTAGGAACTCTACTATGTCCTTGGAAAATAAACTCATTTATCTTGCTTACTTGCATCCAATATTTGCATATGCGAGTCCTATTTGGGGATCTGCTGTTCCGTCGAATTTCAAGATCATACAAAGAAAAAATCCTACGTATGATTACAAATTCGCCCTGGTTTTTCCAAAATGAGGATATCAGATATTCTCTTTCGCTCCCAAGTTTTAAATAATCTTATAAAATTGCACAAACATTTTATAACTCCATTCCAAATATTAATAATTCTGTTTTGAATGATCTAAGCAACTATGATTACGACATTTCTGATTTCAAAAATTGCAAAAGACCTCGCGGTGTTCTGAATAATAGAGAGTTTTTGCATGCCGTATTTTTTTCCTCCCTAGCTCGCATGCTCATAGGAAATTGCACATGCGTATCTGTAATGACGTTTCCTATGAGCATGCGCGCTAGGGAGAAAAAAATATCGGACGATAAAAATACGGTATGCAAAAACTCTCTTTTATTCATTAACGTTTCGATATCCTCCTTTCCGATTACAAATGCAATTTCTCCTCCAATCGTTTATGTTTCTATTGTTTATTTTTTTTTATTTAATAATATAAAAAATAATATTAATAATATAAAAAAATTATATATGCATGATTTTTTTATTATATAAAAATAATAATTAATAAGTTAATTTTTTAATAAATTAATAATATATATATATAAACTCATGTTTGTGAAAATTGCAACACCATGAAGGAATCGTCATAATTGAATGAAATTTAATACACAGTTGAGTGGTAGTGGTACAAATAAATGATTAAATGTTCAAAGCAAACAAACAATAACAAGAGATCGGAATCTGTATTTTGTGTAGCCACCACGCGCCGCAATAAGTGCTGCTACACGACGTGGCTTGGAGTCAAACAAATTTTGAATGTCTGCCTGAGGAAGAGCATTCCATATTGTTTGCATGCGCACCCAAAGTTCGTCTGCAGACGCAACAGGACGAGGATCACGAGCGAGACGCCGACCAACGAAATCCCACACATGTTCAATCGGTGGCATATCCGGGGAATACGCAGGCCAAGGAAGAAGCAGTACCTGCCGCGTTGCAAAGAAGGATTGAACAGTCCTAGCGATATGAGGGAGTGCATTGTCCTGTTGAAATACAGCACTTGGCAAGCTTTGAAGGAAGGGAGCAGCTTGGGGCTGTAGAACTTCACTGATGAACTGATTGCTGTTCAGATTGCCCACAATTCTTAGCAATTGAGATCGTCCGTGATATGCTATGGCACCCCAGACCATAACTCCGGGTGTTCGTCCACTGTGGCATTCGATAATGTACTCCGGAAGGTGGCGTTCACCGGCATAGCGTCTGACACGAATGCGGCCATCATGGTACCACAAATTAAAGCGGGATTTGTCAGAAAACACGACATGCGGCCAATCAGCACGCCAGTCTCTATGCTGAGCGGCCCATTGTAGCCGCAGGCGGCGATGGTTTAGCGCGAGAGGGATCCTGTATAAAGGAGTCCTTGCGCGCAGTCCACGCTGCAGCAGACGTCTACGAATTGATGAAGCACACAATGAAACACCTGCAGCTATTGACCACTGTGCTGCCAATTGTCTAGAGGAAGCTGTACGATCCGTCAGCGCCATGCGGACCAGGTGTCTATCATCGCGAGCTGACGTCACATTTCGGGTTCCACTCCCGGATTTCCGAGTTGTCCGACACTTGTCCGTCCACTGCTTCCAAAGACGCATCACTGTGCTGCTGTCACGCTGCACACGAGCGACTACTGCATGATAAGACAATCCAGCTTCACGAAGGCCGATTATTCTCCCCCGTTCAAACTCTGTAAGTTGTTCAAATCTCGCTCTCCTTCGTCGAAGAGGCATAAGTAACGATTGAGCTAACGTTTACCACTAGCAGATAACCATACACGCCTCGCTACAGCCGTCTATTTATTCGGATCCATCCGCCGTTCAGAGGGCGCTGCTCAGCATAAGCATGCGCTACGAATGTGAAATTTTAATCATTTGCATATCATGCGCTAATTTGCATTTCCTGAAAATTTCAGCTCACTCGCGTAAGTCCTTCATACTGTTGCAATTTTCACAAACATGAGTATATACATATATATATATATAT